TTCTGGAACTCAGTTCAGCTCTGAGACCCAGCCCAGCTCTGAAACCCAGACAGCACAAGAATTCAGCCTAGCTCTGGAGGCCAGCTCGGCTCCAGAACCCAGCCCAGCGCTGAGACCCGGCTCAGCTCTGAGACTCAGCTCGGCTCCAGAACCCAGGCCACCTCCAGGATTCAGTTCAGCTCTGAGACCCAGCCCAACTCTGAAACCCAAACCAGGTCAAAAGTTCAGCCCGGCTCTGGAGCCCACCTCAGTTCCAGAACCCAACCCAGCTCCACAACCCAGACCAGTTCTGGAACCCAGTTCAGCTCTGAGACCCAACCCAGCTCTGGAGCCCACCTCAGTTCCAGAACCCCGCCTATTTCTGGAACTCACCCCAGCTCCAGAACCCAGACCAGCTCAAGAATCCAGCTCAGCTCTGGAAACGGGCTCCGTCTGCAGACCCCTGAGCTTGACTCTAGACCCAACCCGAGCCCACTCCCCAGCCCGACCTCAGGCCCCAGGCCCACCACCCGGAGGCCCGGCTCCGGTCCCTAGCAAAGTCTCTCGGCCTCAGCCCAGCCCCATGATCTGGTACATGGAACCAGGCCGACACTGGCCGGGGCCAAAGCCCACCAGCTTCCCACCTGGCCCCCCCACCACAGGCCCCCTCAGCCCCCAGAAACCAGCCCTCTCCCCTAAGCCTCAGCTGGGACTCCAGAAGTCCACATCACCCCTCATATCTAGTCCTGCCCCCAGGGCAGCCCTGCTGTGTTCCCGGCCCTCTGGACCCCCAGCTCGGGGGCCGGCCCCCTCCCCAGCTTCCCCGTGCTCAGGGGGGCAGGGCCCCTCCCCATCACAGGGGGCCGTAGCTTGGGCGTGACCTAGTTTTGGCATCCGTGGCGCCCACCTCTGCTCCCCTCCTCCCAGCCCTGGTCCCCCAGAAGCAGCAGGTGACCTCGTTCTCCCAAGGCGGGGGTGGGAGGGGGGCAGGGTGGAAACAGGTGTTTCGGTTTCACTGGGGCCTGGCTCCGCAGGTGTAAGCAGATCCCAGCTCTGCGGAGGGAAAGGGGGCGGGGGGGTCCCTTCTCGTGTACCCGAGGGCTGGCGGGAATAAAGGCACCTCCACCCCCTGCAGCCGGTGTGTCGTGTTGGGGGAGAGCACAGGAGGGGAGGGCACGAGGGTGGGGGCGGGGCTGCCATGGTCGCCATGACAACACCGGATGCTTTTAAGCGCCTCCCACGTGCCAGGCGCCTCACGAGGTGCTCACTGCGCGTGCGCTCGTCGTCTGGGGCATCAGCGGGGTCTTTGCGCAGCGACCCCCGGGAACCCGCCCGGCGACGACCCCGAGACCGGAGGCGGGAGGCGCCGGGACCCGCCCGGACGCGGTTGCGTAGCAACCGGATGCAGGAAACTTCAAGGATCGACGATGATTGACGACTTCCGGACGCAAAGGACAATAAAGCCAGGCTGGAGATATATTTTGGCGAGAGAGGGGTGTCCTGCCCGTTCCCATTCAGTCTTTTCTAGACAGAGCCTTCTGGGGCTGGGGGGGTCAAAGGGAATCCACTGGACCCCAGGAAGCAGGTCACGGGGGTCAGAGCCCCCCATTTCCCAGGCTTTCTGGAAGGGGCGGCTCACCGGTCTGACCCCCTCCCAGCACCCCCACACGCCCTTCCGGGGGAGGGACTCAGGGGAGGGGACTCAGAGGGGCAGGATGGAAAGGGGGGCCGGGGCGGGGGTGGGCTCCCCAGGAAGTCCGCAATCCTGCCGCTCAGACTTTGTCCATCCCGCAGCCCGGCTCCCGAGCTCCGGGCCCCGCGATGTGACCGTGAGGGCCCCAGGTCAGCGGGGGACACGCGGGCGGCGCGCTCTGTCCGGCTGTCCTTCCGGAGCCGCCGCCGAGGTGTCCACCGCCCCCCAACCCGGGCCTACTGCAGGGAGGACCTGAGGGTCAGCTGGGGCTGCAAGGACAGCGACCTGGCCGCGTGCTGAGGCGCGGGTAGAGGCGCCGCATCACCGCCCGGCGGAACAGGATGTACATCCAGGGGTCCAGGATCTGGTTCCACGTGGCCACGCGCAGGTAGATGAGCAGCTGCTTCTCCGTGGCGCGCGGCAGCTGCCCGCTCGGGCCCATGGCCGGCGGCTCCGCAGCACCGTCTGCGCGATGAAGGCCTGCGGGGGTCGGAGGGTCAGCGCGGCCAGCCCTGCCCCCGCCCCTGCGCCCCCCCCACCGCCCCTGCCCTGCGCCCCTGCACCCCCTGCCCCGCCCCTGCGCCCCTGCACCGCCCCCCTGCGCCCCCTGCACCGGCCCCTGCGCCCCCCCCCCCCCCGCTGCCCCTGCACCGGCCCTGACACCCGCCCCTGCGCCCCCTGCACCGGCGCCCCCTGCACCGCCCCCCCCCCCCCCGCCCCCCCCCCCCCCCTGCGACCCCCCCGCCCCCCCCCCGCCCCTGCGACCCCCCCCCCTGCCCCCCCCCCCTGCGCCGCCCTGCGCCTGTGCCCCCCCCCTGCGCCCCTGCACCCCCACCGCCCCTGCGCCCCCTGCACCGGCCCTGCCCCGCCCCTGCGCCCCTGCACCGCGCCCTGACACCCGCCCCTGCGCCCCTGCACCGGCCCCCGGCCCCTGCGCCCCCACCCCGCCGCTGCCCCTGCACCGGCCCTGACACCCGCCCCTGCGCCCCTGCACCGGCCCCCGGCCCCTGCGCCCCCACCCCGCCGCTGCCCCCTGCACCGGCCCTGCCCCCGCCCCTGCGACCCCTGCACGGGCCCCCGCGCCCCTGAACCGGCCCCGCGCCCCTGCGCCCCCCCCCCCTCCCCCCGCCCCTGCCCCCCTGCACCGGCCCCCCCCCCCCTGCCCCCCCCCCCCCCTGCGACCCCCCCCCCTGCCCCCGCCGCTGAGACCCCCCCCCCTGCCCCCCGCCCCTGCGCCGCCCTGCACCTGTGCCCGCCCTGCGCCCTGCACCCCCACCGCCCCTGCGCCCCCTGCACCGCCCCCCACCCCTGTGCCCTCACCGCCCTGACACCTGCACCTGCGCCCCACGCACCTGCCCCCCCGCAGCTGCGCCCCTGAACCGGCCCCCACCACACACGCCCCCCACTCTCCCTGCGGCCTCCCCGCACTTGGCCCCCACCGCACCTGCTCCCTATCGCACCTGCCCCCTCACACCTGCCCTGGCTCCTGAGACCCACAGCCCAGTCTGCCGCTGCTTTGCTGTGTGAGCTCGAGAGAGTTGCCTGACCTCTCTGAGCTTCAGTTGATGGGGCCACAAAATAGCGCGCTTTTCCTGCTCCTCTCCTGGGCGCGATTAAACACGGTGGAAAAGAAGACTTGTGGGTGCGCAGCGGTGGGATCGCTGTTCCTGCCTGCGCTATTATTCTAGCAACGGCTTATGTTTTATAAAAAGTGTATACTATAATGTTGCAAAATTATAGTCTAAAGTTGCAATTAAATAATTTACTTTTTATATTATATATTCAATCTAAATAATTTCATATTATATTTTAGGTAGCTTTTGGCAAATAATTTAATATTAAATAATTTTTATATTAAAATACTTTAATATTTCTTGAATGTTAGAGTTCATATTTAATATTACATAATATGCAATATATACTGTTATTTACAAATTATGTAATAATAATTATCTAATAATTAACATATTGTTAATTATAACTATAATAGAAAATTATAGTTATATATTATAAATTTAACAGCTATATCTGTAATGATTTAATATATAGGTATAATTATGTAACTTTGTATTATATAATAATGATATAAAGTATTAATCAATAATGCATTATTAGTCATATATAGTATTTAATAATTATATCATATATAATGTGATTACATGCTATATAGTAATTGGTATAATTATTAACTATTAATCATAATACAATTATAATGTGTATTATAGTTTATAATTGTACTTAAAATTTGTATTATCTTAAGTGTCATTATCATTCATATCATATTAGAATTATTATATTAGGATTGTCTCCTAAGCCCCTACTGTGTGCTGGGGACACTGCGGCGGCCAGGATGGAGCCAGGTCCCATGTGCAGAGACTCACAGTCCGGGGGGACCGAGCGGGACGGGGGCGGCCGAGGCCCCGGGGCAGGTCCCCAGCGGGTGGGCAGGCGTCTCCCAGGGCGTCGGAGGGGAGCGCCTGTGGCCTTTCTTCTGGGCACTAGGGAGCCACGGGTGGCTTCGGAGCGGGAGGGGGCCCTGGGCCGGGGCCGCCTGCCCCCTGTTTCTGTTTTGTGCATTTTAGCTTGTTTTGTCTTGTTGTTTTGCTAAGAACATTTTTACACATGGAAAGGGCGGGTGAGAAGGCGAAAGGAGCGTGGGTGTGGCAGGTGACAATGACGTGAGAGTCACATGAGGGGCGGTGATAGACTGCATTTCCCGCCAAGGGGACTCAGGAATCGTGACTGACTCAGTGATCCTACCCAGGATGCCTGCCCTGTTGTTGTCGAGCAAGGGAACTCCTAGTCATGCTTCAAAGCCCCAGCTCCAATGGTTCAGGGCAGGGCAGGGCCCGTTCGGGGTGTTCCTGGAGCCTGGGGGCCGCAGGCAGGTGGAGGCGGCTGGGCAGCGTGCATGCGGTGTGGCCTGCATGGGTCTCTCGGGGGTCAGGGAACTTGCATGGGGACACGTGTGTGCAGCCCAAACAGGGGAGGGAAGCGGGGACCTGCAGGACCCAGGCTGGGGGAGGGGGCGGTCCCAGGAGAGCTGCGGTTCTGGGCTGTCCCATCCTGTCCCTCCCAGGCCTGCCCCAGGGCCTTTGCATGGGCTGTGCCCTCGGCCTGGGTTGCTCCCTGCAGATCTCTACTCGGTTCACCCTTCACCTCCTCCATGTCTTTGCTCAAATGGCACCTTTCTGCCTGGCCAGCTCTGCTCCCTGCCCTGCAGCCCCCAGTCTCCGGGGACACCCAGAATGGGCCCTGCCTGCTCTACACCATTGCAGCTGGGGCTTTGAAGCATGAATAGGAGTTTCACTGCTCGATCGATACAAACCAGGAAGGCATCCTGGGTAGCATCACTGAATCATGAAACGTTTCCAGAGTCCCCTTGGGTGGCGAACTTTCTAGAAGGGCCACAGGGTCAACACAAAGTTAAACACGGTCTCTGTCACCCCCCACCCCAGCTCTGCCGTGTAGCGACAGAAACCAAAGGGTGTGGCTGGGCTCCAGGAAGCCTTTCTTTTTGGGTGCGGAAATTTGAATCTCATGTCCTTTCCATGTGGCACAAACTAGGAGCCTTTTTTTGATGTTTTTCTCCCACCCTCGTTCCCGGGAAAAGCATTCTTAGCAAAACAAGCGGGAACAGCAAAAACAGATGTGCCCTCCGCCCTCCGCGGGCTCAGTCTGGGCTCCCCCTCATCACAGCCATGTCTCCGCTCCCGCGTGTCGATGTGTCTTCCTCACCACGAGGCCCCGGGCGGGGGAGGAACTGTTCTCAGTTTATTTCCTCCTGTGTCCTCAGTGCCCAGATCAGAGCCTGAGATCCAGCAGCCACTCAACAAACATTTGTGGAAGGAACACACGAATAAATGAGTCCATTTCGTCCTTGCAGCCGCCTGCAGAGGCGGGAACTTTCTAAGCCGCATGATCGGGAGACGGAGGCTGGAGGGGGGACGCCCATCCCAGAGTCACCAGCATGGCCTTATCGGACGGACTCAACCGAGGGTCTGACTGCAGCCTCCAGACTCGTCAGACCCAATCAGAAATGAAAAAGCAGCCGCCCCAAACAGCCCAACGACACCGATCGGTGGAAGGACGTCAACCGAGCCCCCCTGACTCAGGGCAAACGTGCACAGGGCTCGGGGCCGGCCTGGAACGGGCACAACGAGGCCCAGAAAACGTTTGATGATTCAGTGATTCTGCCTAGACTGCGTTTCCCTGGTTTAGACTCGCAAGTAAACTCCTATTCATCCTTCAAGGCCCCAGCTCCCATGCCCCTCCTCTGGAAAGCCTTCTCTGAGACCCCAGGTAGAGCCTTGGAGCCCCTCCCTGGGCATCCCGGTCCCCAGACGCTGCCTTTGCCCCCACGGGCCACTCACCAGCAGCGGCATCCAGCAGATGCTGGCGACAACCATGATGCCCATGAGCTGCGCCATCATCTCGACCTCAGAGTCCCGCGGGCGCTGCTGGGCGGCCTCCTGGTTGTGGTAGACGTGGCACAGGGTGGCCACGGTGACCGTGTTGAGCAGGAAGGACAGCACCACCGAGAGGCCACCGAGGAGCGAGAAGAGCAGGCCGAAGGCCATGTCGCCGCGCTCGGCGCCCAGCGTGAGGAAGCACCAGGAGCCCGGGTACTGCACCGTGTAGCGGCCCAGGCCCAGTAGCGGCAGCAGGCCCAGCGCCAGCGCCACGGCCCACACCAGCGCCACCGTGGCCCAGGCACGGCGCGGCGAGGCGGCCACGGGCCGTGAGAAGGGCCGTGTGATGCCCAGGTAGCGCTCCGAGGCCATGGTGGCACCCAGCAGGAGCGGGGACAGGCCGAAGAAGACCATGACGACGCCCATGAAGCGGCAGAGGTGGCAGCCGGGGTCCACGGCCTGCCAGTCGAACAGGGCGAAGTGCTGGGACACCACGATGGCGCCGGTCACCAGGAGCCCCAGGAAGTCGGTGAGGACCAGGCCACAGAGGAAGGTGAGGAAGGACGAGCGCGTGGCCGAGCTGCCGTGGCGCGCGCCCGCCAGCACCCTCAGCGCCAGCACATTGGACGCCAGGCCCACCAGGCAGAAGGAGGCTGCGAACCAGGGCGAGGCGATCAGGCGCCGGTCCGCCAGCGTGATGTTCGTGGGCCGGAAACAGGGCCCCAGAGCGCTGCCGTTGGGCCACATGGTGCTGGGTGGAGCAGGGACGGTCACCACTCCATCCGGCCCGGGCTCAGTCACCCCTGGGGGGAGGCAGAGAGAAGAGTTGCTGGTGATTCGTTCTGCATCTTAATCTGAGGGGTTCTGGTGAACTCCTACACAACCTTCAACGCCTCAGCTCCAATACCCGCTTCTTGAGGAAGCTTTTCCAGACTTGGCTCACTCCCCACTCAGCAAGGATCACTACTCCTCCGACCTCCAGCCCTGTCCTGCCCCAGAGTCGGTGACCCTCAAGGATGAGGATGCATTCTGTGTCCTCTGGGATCCCCAGGGGACACAGGTTAGTATTTGCTGGGTCGCAGAGAAGGGCTGAGAAGCCCTGGGTTTGAACGCCCACCCTGGCGCCCACTGCGTGACCCCAGGTCCCTCTCTCCAAACTGCTGTGTCCCCACTGGCCACCCCTCTGAGCCCTCGGCGGACTGCAGGGTCCAGACAGGACTCGGCCAGGGTGGGCAGGGTTCGGGCTCCCGCGCCAGCTCTGAGGTGGCCCGCGGGTCACAGTCTGTTGTGAATGCGTTTTGGGGCCCCCTCCCCCAAGGGTGGTTTGGGGGAGCCCTCCTCACACCCCAGAGTCGGTTTTTCTCACTTTTGTGGCATCGTGTTTATCATAAGAAACAAGCCCAGAACCGTAGCCTCGTTCTGGGAACAGAAAACAGCTCGTCTGGAGCGACGTGTCCCCCGGGACGCGCTATAAACGGCAGCGGAGGGCCCCGGTCCCGGCTGCGCGGTGTGGACGGATCGAGGAGAAAGAGAAGCAGCTCCAGTTCCCCAAAAGGACACACCAGGGGGGACACCAGCTCCCGGGTCCCCAGCCTCCGCCCTGGGCACACACGAGCCCCCCTGGGTCAGCAGGGAGGGGGCACCGGGTGGGGAGGTGGGACCACCGAGGGAGGTACGGAGGGCCGGGCCGTCACAGCTCAGAAAGGTCCTATGATGACCCCCATACTGCAGAGGGGGGGGAAACTGAGGCCCAGAGAGGTTAAGTCACTTATCCAGGGTCACACAGCCCGGCCAGAGGTGGTTCAGATTTACACCCAGGCCTCGTTGCATCGTACCCTCCCGGTGACCTTGGGCTCGTCACCGCACCGCTCTGGGCCTCAGTTTCCCCTCCTGTGACCACTGTCCCTCAGCCCCATCGAGTTACAGGCCCTCGGCCGGCTCCTCTGCTCGGTTCAGCGACTCCTCATTGAGCCTCAAACGACACGGCTCTGAGCTTCGCACCCGGCACCAGTGGGTGGAGGCGGGGCCTCAAGTGGGGAAACTGAGGCCCAGAGAGGTGGGTCACGCGGAGTCGGGGCTTTCTGCCGGGGCGGGGGTGTGCTGTTTGCCGTCTCGGATTTGGCCTGCGTTTGGATTCCTCCTGGGACGGGGCGCTCCCTCCCTCGAGAGCTGCCATGCGCTGTTTCTCAACATTCCTGAGGACTCGGGCTGTATGTGCCGCCACTGCCCCAGCCTCGGCCGGGACGGCGGGCCAGCCCCTCCTGGGTCTCACGATCCCCTTTGCCCCCAGGCTTATCTGTGACCCAGTCCTTGGCCTGGGGGAGGCTGGAAACTGGCACGACTCCCTCTGGCCACAGCCTGCGGTTTCCAGTCTCCCCACGGGTTCAGTTGATAGCGCCCGGCTCAAGTTCCCCGGACAAGCGGGCCAGGAGGGGCACCTGGCAGGGCCGCCCGTCCCCTCCCATGCTGGCCAGGAGGCATGGCAGGGCCCCCGCCTGCAGGGGACCGTCCTCATCCCAGCCTGAGGTCCAGAAGGAGCGCTGTGTGACCCTTGGGGAACTAGATTTCCCTCTCTGGGCCCCATGGGAAGCACGGCCCCCAGACTTGCTGGACGAATCCAGGATGCCAGGCCCGAGAGCTAAGGGGCTGGACTCCGAAGGGCTATGCTAATGAGCTTCCAGTTCTGGCACCCGGAGGCCCCTAGAGTCTAGAATTCCAAGGGGCTGAGGTTCCAGAACCTTCGCAGGAATTTGCCTGGGTCCTGGGTTCCAGAAATCTCTGGGTCGGCTCCCTTCTGGAGGACAGACGCTGAGCTGGCCGGTGGCCCGGCGGGGGGAGGCCGGGGTCGGGGTTGGGGGTCTCCATCCTCCCGGCCGGGAGGGAGGTGCGGGCACCCAGCTGGCTCCCCCACGCCCAGCCCCGAGGGAACGCGATCTGCGGTTCCCAGCGCCAGGCCGTCCTCTGCCAGATGGCCCCCGTCATCGCCTCCTCCCCCCACTCCACCGGCCGCTCAACACCGTCACCCCGGGGCACACCCAGCCTCCCCCAGGGGCTGCGCTGACAGACAAGCTCGGCCTGGAGTCCCCGATCTGCCACGGCCGGACTCAGGGCACGACTTTCCAGAGCCTCAGTTTCCCCCCTCTGTGAAATGGGGTGACAAGGACACCGGCTCGCTCCTGCCTCTGAGCCTCCTGCCTTGGCCGTGCGCCGTTCCCGGCCTGGCTGTGCGCAGGGGCCAGGTGCACGGGCTGCCAGGCGGGGGCCCTGATGCTCCGGTGACCTCGGCCTGCCCTGGCCCTCGGCCTGTTGGCTGACGATGACGATGACGCCCTTTGGCACGAGCCGGCAGGGACCGGGCCACGCCTGAGGCAGACCCGTGAGCACTCACGGGTGGGGACCCCCTGCCACACCCTTGTGTGGCTACAGACACCCGTGCAGACGCACCCACACACGCGGGGCCCCGGGCCCGCCCCACCTCGCTTCGTCTTGCCACAAGGCTCGATTTCCCGGAACTTTTCCTGTTTGCGACATGAACCAGCTCCCACCCCGGAAGGTGCAGAGCGGGGCTCCCCAGTGAGCCTGCCTAGGCTGAGCTGAACCTCAGCTCCGACTCATGTGGTCCCCTCTGAGCCTCAGTTTCCTCCTCCATCCAATGGGCATCCTCTGAGGGTAGATGTGAGATGAGGGGACAGGCCCCAGGCCACGCGGCTGGCGGTTAATGATGGACACAGACCTCACGAACATGTGCCACCATTGCATGCCCACACACAGACACACAACTGCACAGACGCGCGCTCACAGCCACACCAGGCCCTGGGCACCTTCCCTGTGGCCCCAAGGACCCCGAGTGGCCCCACAGAGACCCGGGGACACCCCACACATGCATTTCCGCGGCCACACAGCGACACAGCACCCACAGCCCGGGCACAGACTCATGAATGCCCCAGGACACCCAGCTTCGGCCGCTGTCACTGCCCAGGGTGACACTTCCGCCCAGGGTGACACACCCACAGCAGGGCGGGTCACTGACGGATGCCCCGGAGCCACCTGCCCACTCCCAGCCCCGCCTCCAGCGTGGCGGGCGCGTGCTCACCTGGCGATGCTGATGGAGACGGCGATGGAGGGGCCGCGCCCGGGTCCCCGCGCCACCGCGAGCGGGGCAGACGCCTGGGAGCTGGTCCGGGCGAGGCTGCGGATGGGCGGACGGGGGAGCGGGGCGGCCCGGCCTCCGGCGGTCCCTGGGGAAACTGAGTCACGGCGAGGGCGGGCCGCACAGGGGACCCGGCGCTGCCAGTCGCCGGGGCACAGAGGGAGGGCGGTGGCCGCGGCCGCGCCGTGCGCGGGGGCTCTGGGGGCGCGGGGACCCCTCTGGGCTGGAGCGGGCTCGGCGGGGCCACAGACCGCGCGGGCGGGGGCTCGGCTCAGCGGGCCCCTGTCTGTCCCGGTCTCCGTCTGTCTCTTGCTCACTCTGTCCGTCCTTCTGTCTCACCAGCCCGCCCGCGGCGCTGGCCACGCCCCTCGGGCCCGGGCCTGGCCTGTGGGGGGCGGGGGGCGCGCCCCAGCCGGCGGGGAGATCGCGCGGCCTCCTGGGGGAGGGGACCCGGGGCCGCAGGGACAGGGGCGCGGTGGCGGGGGGTGGGGATGGGGTGAGGGCTGGCCCGCCCCGGCCTGGCCCCCTGCCCGCCGCCGCCCCGCATTCTTCGCCCCAGAGCCAGCGCCCCAGGCCGGACCGGGGAGGGGTGGGGGGTGGGGCGGCTCCCCAGGGTGCCCCGACCGCGGCCCAGGGGTCCAGGACTCTGAGCTAGTGGGCCCGCCAGGATGGTGCCTGGTACACATTAGGTGCTTAATCAATGCAGGATCTGTCTGAAACCCCTGCCAGGGCTGGGGGAGGGGGGTGCAGGGGTCCGGGAGGTGGGGGGGCCCAGACTCTCCAGCCAGCAGCTTCCTGGGCGGTCAGCTGAGAGCACTGGGGGGAGGGTCCTGTAAGGGCACAGGCTGGGAGGTGGCCCCAGAGCAGAGGAAGGAAAGCCCCTCCCTAGCAGCGCGCCCGCCGTGGGGCTGGGCCTGGGGCTGGGGCTGGGGGCGGGGTGGGAAGAAGCCCGGAGCCCCCACTGCAGGAAAGGCTGGGGACCAGGCCGGGCGGGGTCTCGGCAGCAGGGCCGTGGAAGCAGAGGGCACCCGCCAGAGCCCAGCGTGTCGCCGGCCGGAGCGGCGGGAAAGGGGGCTTCCTGCAGGCCCCTCCTGCCCCGGGCGTGGCCGCACGTAGACGGGGGTCTGCGGGCCTGGGGGGGTGTGGGGATCCGTGGGGGCAGGGCGGGGGCTGAGGGCTGCCCGGCACTAGCCGCCCGGCCGTGACCCCGCCCCACGCAGCCCTTAGGGCGCGAGAGGCGCCCGCGCGGCCGGCTCCCAGCGAGGAGGATGCGCTCCCGCCCCAGCCTCCCCGCGGCCCCGGCCTCCGGAAGCCCCTTCTCTGGCTCCCGGCCTCCCGGCCTTCCGGCCTCGGGACGTCACTGCACCCTGCGCCCCTCCAGACGGCCCCGCCCCTCTGCATCCCACCGCCGGAGGCCTCAGCCGTGGATCCCAATTTCTCTCGCTGGGCAAGGAGTCTCCCCAACTCCTATGCATCTGGCAGAGCCCTGACTCCAAGGCTCCGTCCTCTGGAAAGCCTTCATCTCCCCAGTAGTCTTGCTACCCGGCGACCCTCCTGCCATGCCGCTCTGCGGCCCAGCTCAGGGGGTGCGACACTTCTGAGCCCCAGGGAGGACTGGAAAACAGCCCTGCCCTCCGGGGTCCCCCAGGCTGGAAAGAGACAGAGCAGCACAGGGGCGGCCGGCCCCCTGCAGTCAGGGCTGAGCCGGAGGAACAGACAGGGCTTAGGGGAGCCAGGAAGGCATGCTGGGGGGAGAAGGCATGAGCACCGGGGATTTGTGGGATGAACAGGAGTTCCCCAGGTCCGAGGGATGATGGCAGCAGCAGGAATTACGTGTGTGAAACTCTGGAGGCGAGAGAGGGCGAGGCTTAGGGAATTGCGAGGAGGCAGCTGTGGTGGGGAGAGGATGTGGGGCTGGGGCTCCAAATGGTGGGGCGGGCGATGGGGGGAGACTTCCGTTCCCACTTCCTCAGCCCTGAGATAAGAGGGACAATGTCCCTTCTGGGAAACAGCCGGCACCGGGGTCAGGGAAGAGCAGTGGGCTTGCATTTAGTCCTCAGGGCGCCCCGGTCGGGCGGGGTAAAGGGGAAACTGAGGCCCAGAGGGAGGAAGCGCCGCGCTTGGCCCGGCGTGGTTGGGGGCGGGGTCTCCGGGCCTCGGTCCCCTGCTCCCCGGGAGCCGTGGGAAGGGCTGTGCCGGTTCGGGGCTGGCGGCTGGAGCGGCGGCCCCGCAGCTGCGGTTTCCGGTGGGGGTCGGCCGGGAGCGTGTGTTCCTGGCCTGGGACGCGGCAGGGGACACTAGCCGGGTGGCCTTCTCCGAGTTGGAGACACCTGGGTTGGAACCCTGCCTGCCACTTTCTAGACTTGAAAGGGGGCCCCCGAGCCTCAGTTTCCCCAGCAGCAGCGCGGACACGAAGGCCGCCTGGCGGGGCTGCGGCGAGGCCCGGGCCCGGGTGGGGGGAGAGGCCGCCGGCACCTGCGCTCCCAGCAGCTTCCTGAGAACTGCCGGCGGCTATTTTTAGGGGCCGTGGCTGTTTTGAAAAGGTCCCTGGGTTGTGCTCAGTTTCTCAGCTGTGACAGACTTGCTGCGGTGACACGGGACAGCAGTGGCGGGGACCACCGGCTGTGGGAACCCTAGACTATGTGCCACGTTTCTGAAAATCTAAAATTACTCTAAAATAAAACGTTTATTAAAAAACATGCAATCTCACCAGTAGACCAATTAAATGAAAATAAACAAGATTCCTGCCCGCCAAAAACAGTCCTTTTAGAGAAATAACCTCAGATGGTTCCCAATGGAGCAGGCCGTGGGGGGCCGCGCGGGGCTCCTCCCGTCGGCCTGGAAAAGACCCGCGAGAAAAACGTCACCGGAGACGTGTTTCTGAGGCGGACCGGGGAGGGGACCACGCCTGCCAGGCCCGAGGCGTCCGCGTCCCACACACGGAGCAGGAGGGCAGCGCTGGTGGCGGGAGGCGGCCCCGAGGAGCGCAGCCGTCCCCACGTGGGGGACACCGCGCCCGCACGAGGACATCTCGGGACCCTCGGTTCCCAGTCCCGAAGGCGACGGTGACACGTCCTCCACGCCCACTGAGGGGGCACTGACCCTCGGCCCGCGCAGCCCGGACGCCCTCCGATGGTCCCTCCAGAACGTGCGCGGCGGGGGCCTGGCCCCAAGGAGGGGCCATCGAGGCCCTGGACGCGGGTCTCCCGGCCCTCGGGCGCGTCCCCGCCGGCCGCCCATCCGCACAGCGCGGCGGCGACACTCGCGCCCCCGGGGCTCCGGCCCCGCCGGCGGCCCCTCCGGCGCTCGGTCACCGGCGGTAGCGGTAGCGCTTGAAGTGGAACCAGAGCTGGAAGATGCCGTTGGCGAACTGGCAGCGGAAGCCGTGGCGGTGCGAGTACTCCCACTCGCGGTTGACGATCTTGAAGGCGATGTCCTCGTAGGGCGGCCCCGCGTGGAAGCGCAGCGTGGCGAAGTCCTTGTTGTCGGCGCACGCCTCCAGGAAGTACTCGGGCGTGGAGCGCTTGTCGATGAGGTCGGGGTAGAAGATGTTGAACTTGTAGCCCTGCACGATCTTGGGCGGCGGGTTGTCGAAGTCGTAGTGCGTCTGGTTGTACTTGTTCCACTCGAAGCCCGTGTGCACGCGGTTGAAGAAGCGCGGCTTGCGCGGCCGGTACTTGTCCGCCCACAGGTACGCCTTGCCCGTCAGCGGCATCTCCACGCTGAACTGCGCCTCGTCCTGGCCCATGCCCTCCTTGGCCCGCCGGAAGAAGATGTCCTCGGCGCTCTCGCTCGCGTCCCCTGCGGCCGGGAGGCGGGGCGCGGGCATCAGCGGACAGCAGCACCACGGAGCCTGTTTCCCCGCCCCGCCCCAGCGGCCAAGGCCCCGCCTCTCCTACCAAGGCCCCGCCCTCTGCAGCCAGCCGCGCCCCCAGTAGCCCCGCCCCCCTGCAGCCCTGGCCCCGCCTCTCCCACCAAGGCCCCGCCCCCAGCCCCCGCCCCCAGTAAGCCCCGGCCCCGCCTCTCCCACCTCCCGCCGCGCACCTGTGACCTGGAGCTGCTGGCGCGACAGCTGCAGGCGCTGCAGGTCCTCGTCGGGCTCCAGCACGTGCGCGTCCAGCGGCAGCTCGTGGGCCGTGAGCAGCCGCGGGCTGTACTTGCCGGCGTCGTAGTCGTCCAGGCTCTGCTGGATCAGGTCCTCCTCCATGAGCACGGCCTCCCCGTCCGCCTCGCCCTCCGCCCGCGCCGCCCCTTCCGCCTCGGGCTCCGCGGGGCCGCCCTCCGAGGAGGGTCCCGGCGGGGTGGCGGCCGGCTCCTCAGGCTCCAGGCTGCGGGGAGAGCGGGCAGGGCTGGGTGGGCAGGCGGCGGGCGAACGGGCGGGCCCCGGGTCCCTGCAGCGGTGGGTGGGAAGGGGGACCGGCGGGCCGGGGAGGGGGGCCTACCTGTGGCCGGGCGACGGCGGCTCCTGCTGGAGGATGGGGAACAGGGGCTCGCTCTCCACGCCCTGCTCCTGCTTCAGCTTGTACAGCTTCTGCCGTAGCACGTCCTGGTGCCGCTCCCGGAGCCTGGAAGGCAGGCGGCGGTCACCCACATGTGACACTCGACACTCCAGGGGAAGGGGCCCTGCCCCTAAGGCTTTCTCCTGATCCCCTCTGGCTGCAAGGCCGGGCCGGCCGAGAGGGCAGCAGGGGCCCCAGCCGGGGGTTGGCCAGCCCAGGGGCACGGTTTTGGCCATGAGGAAAGTGGGACGCGGGGTCAGAGAGCCCTGAGAACGGTCCCACGGGGGAGGGGCGGGTCCCTGTAGAAGGGCATGCACGTGCGGGCGTGACCCCACAGCCCAGCTGGGCTGGACCAGGCCCCAGGCAGGCGAGGAAGACGATAAATTTAGAGGCGGCTGCACGGGTCGTGGCGGGCGGGCAGGCGTGTTTACACAGCCAAGCACGCCGAGAATTTATACACAGTGGGTGTGGGGCCTGCGGAAGGACGGCCCGGCTGGGCACACGCGGCCTTGAGGGGCTTCCTGCGCTGCCGGCTGACGCCAGGGGAAACACAGGGCCGGCGTGGTGACAGGACGAAGGCAGGCAGGCCCGCCGCGGGAGGAAAGCCCCGGGGCCCCGACTCCAGGTGGGGCCGGGAGCACCCCCGCCCGCGCGGCAGGCCCGGGGAGACCGAGGCTGAGCCCGCCCACCTGGCGCGCGCCGTGTGCGCGCGGAGCTGCTGCAGCAGGCTCTCCCAGTAGCCCATGTCCAGGTTGGGGCCGCCCGCGCGGATCTTGCCCTCGATGCCCTGGAAGATGAACTGCAGCTGGCTGTGCGTCTTGCCCTTGAAGACCGACTGCACGTCAGAGCTGACCGACGCGTTGACGCC